TTATTGCAGATCTTTAATCTGTGTGGCAAGAATGATTCATTTTCATAATAGCTGTCAATTTCTTTTTGTTACAGAGGTTCACCAGATCGAGATGGAATTGTAAGTATTTAAACAACCATTTGTAGTTGGCTTACACTTCAATATATTCTATGTGTAAATTTCCTTAAGTCCCATTCTTTTTCTTCCTTTTTTCCCAATACGGAAAAAAATAGCTTGGATGACTTTTCTGATCTCTCAGTGTTGTAATTTTCTCTAGTAATTGCATGGGACATAAATGTAGTCTTGGTCAAGTTAGACTTACTTATTGCCTTCACCTAAAACTCTGACCCAGAGCAGGCAAGCAAACTAGTCATAGAGATGGTGGGTCAAAGCCTGATCATTCATGCAAGGGCTGCTACCACCAACTGTTATTTCACTTCCAATTTAATGATGTAAGATTCATTACATGAGAATGTTCTTCTTCAACAGAGGCCACAGAGTCATAAACGAGCTGGGATCCAATAAAACTAAAAGAAGCTTTTCCCCTTGAGTAGTTGGGCTGCAAATCCATTTTCTATATTAAATTCCAAATTAGGGAATGGTCTTAAAACCACTTATGCCTGAATGTATAGCCTGAAGGAGGCAAATGGGTCGACTGGGTTTTGATTCAGCAGTTATTTTGACTCCTTGCTGGCCACAGATTTCTTGCTTTTTAAAGAAGTCTGTGGTGCATGGGTTTAGATTTATCTGAGTTGTGCTTATGGGATTTTGCCCTAGCTTCTGAAATGACTTCCTTCAAAATCTAAATCAGATGCCTATTCAGAGGTTCAAAAGAACAGCTGTTACTGAAAAAAAGATGAAGTGGGGGGGGCCTCACATTAGACTCACTGGGCTGGAGTGGGAACTAAAATAAATCTGGTGACTAAAAATATAATTTTTTAAAAATTACCCTTTATAATAAAATACCAAAGTTGGGGCACTAATTGCAGTTCTAGCAGGAGTTCTCCTGCACTTGTTGCAAGGTTCTTAGCTTTGGGATACCTTCCATGTACATGTGATTCTTGCTATGAAATATTAAGAAAATAAGACTGAAATTGATCAGACATTGGGTAACACTATAATCAAGGCTCTATTCAGCAGGGGAAAAAAAAGACCCAGAAGACTCAGCTTCTCCTCACCTCTTGCTTCTGGCTCAGAGCCCTCTCGTTAACTCTGTCTCAGGTACTCTCTGCTTCTATGTCTTCTCTTTGCTTCTGGCTTGATCCCCTCCCTGGGTCCTCTTGTTCCCCCATTCCCACCTTTGCAAGGCTCTAGCTACTCTGCTTTCTATCTGTGTTGCTCCCAGACCGGATTGCTATTCCTGGCTTCTCTCACTCTGCCACTCTCAGTCTTGTCCTATTTTTCCTTTCTCCAACCCCCTGCCCATTGTCTTTGAGGCACCGTTACCTCACTATTCTCTGCTGTTCTGGGAGCACCTGTGTATATCTCTAGTAAAATATGTACACAGCAACTGATGCAGCAGCTACCACAGGGCAGGTGACCATGAACATGGCCTCATTAATGAACCCAGAAGTCATTCTGAGGACCCCTCCTCCCTAGGACAGGGCTTCATACCCAGTCCCCTGAGCGCTCCTTATACCATTCCAAGTCTTAGAAAGTTAGTTATTAGTGGTTGTGCCTTCTTTGTTACTTATTCAGAAATGCCATAAATATCATCAGTCATAATTATTAAGAATGGGGAATTATTTCATTTCAATTTCTTTGGAGGTAACACAGACCTTTTCTGAAAAAGACCACATCAAAAATAAGTACATTTTCTCAGGGGCAGGTGTACAGCTTCATTGGCAATTGGAAATTATTAACCAGTTGCTAATTTCAGCTTTTGAAAATGTTCACATTTCCCCCAAAACATGATCACCAAATTTCAAAAACCAGCACTGTCCAGCTCAATTTAAGTTTCTGTTCGTATTCAGTGCTTACAGAGCTCAACCTGATTTTCTTTTAAACTCGACCTTGCATCTGTGGATTCTATCCATTTTGGTATGGCTGAGATAGCTTCCAAATGATTGCCTTTTGAATATTTGAAGTTGAATTTTACAGTGTGGGTCCATAAACTGAGTTGTTGTGTGTTGTATCCAGCTAGTGTATAAGCTGGTTGAGTAAACACAGAGTCTGCACAAATGCCTTGATAGAGTGCTGCTTACTTCTTTTCAGTTTCTTAGTATCTTTTGGAGCTCACGGCTGGTGGCAACACTTTTAATCTATAGAGACCTCATGGTAGGGCTGTGTGTCTGAAGATGAGATTGCCTTGTTGCCCACTGGCTGAGTGTCCCCATTGCTGCAGAGCTGTTTGTCACAGTGTCCAGACTCAGGCAGCTATGTGTGACACACATGCTGACATAAACTCTAATTTGCACTGGATACACGTTAATGTCCCAAGTAGCACCAGTTTTCTTTCACAAATACACCAGGATAGCAGGGTTACAGCCTTGCTTTGAAGATATCTTTTTTGCTTGCACTGAACAGGTGAGCAGGAAAAGGCACAGGTTTGGAACTGTCATCTGTGTGGCTGTATGTATTGGTGACCTAAGGAAGGCTTTGATCAGGGAGAAATATGGAAGAGAGATTTTTCATACTTAGATTAGAAATCAGTTTTTACACAGTCTCTTCCTGTGTGTCTTGGTGTCTGTTCTCTACTTGTAAACTCAGTGCTGTCTGAATGATGAATAGATCCACCAGTCCTGCTTTCTGGGACACATCTCCCTCCTTCTCCCTTCCCTCCTGGCCTAGTCAAGCTGGCCTGCTGAATAGAGCCTCATTATGGGCCCCAAAGTCCACTCTGCCTAAGGAACCCTGCCAACATTGGTAGGCCGTACAATTTGGCCTAGAAATTGTTTCTTCTATGGTATGTTTGCTGACTCCGTGTGATTCTTTATATGTGTCTTGAAAAACAAGCAGATCCTTTAACAACTTTTTTCTACATGAAAACAATCAATTCCAGCAGCCCAGCCCACATGAACCACCCTACAATAACAAAGCAGAGTGTGCGCGTGAAGGAGGAAAAAAAGTTTCGGTAAGGAAACAGATTTTAGTTTAAAATTTCCAAGGGGTTGTAGAAACAGTGAGTAAAATCCCAACTTGAAATTTGGAGAACACAGTAGTTTTATTTACGCTACTTAACAGGACTCTTTCTTAAGTAGCTCTACATTACTTCTGACAACTTGGGACCAATTTTTATATGAATTATTTAGACTTTATGTGTTGACATCTGAATATTCCTTTAAAGAATGATCAGCCATAAAAGATTTCTGTTTCTTTTCAGAAAGGAGTCAGTTTTTTAAATGGATCTGATATCCATAAAAAAAAAAAGCTTTGACTAAAATAGAAGCATCATCATGCAAATTGAGTAGTATCATTTGTTAGAATAAGCACTATCTCAATCCTATCAGGAACTGGGCAGGACCTTGCCCTGTGTAGCCAGTGTTCTTAACCAAAGGATAAAAACAGGAATACTGACCTTCAGCCAGACAATGCAATAGCTATGGCTATGTTGTCCAATATGGCAGCCAGGTATGGCTATTTAATTGAAATTCAATCCATCAGACACACTCTATAGAGTACATTTTAAGTACTCCATAGTCACTCATATCTAGTGGACAGCATATTGATAGAACATTTGCAATCTCACAGAGAGTGCTATTGGATAGTGCTGTCCTAAAGGATTATTTACAAAGTGATTTAAGCCTACCTTTGTGGAAAAAAGATAATATTTAGATAATATTTAGGCAAGTACATCATATTTCTTTAATACTTCTCATCCAAGGATCACTGTATAGCCATGAGCTGGCCTCAGAAAGAGGTACAGTCACAATGGAAATTGACAACTTTGGTGAATGTATAATTAAACACCATGGTTACTATATTCATTGATTTAGCCCACCATCTTCTCTGAGAATAGATGATAAGCCTAACCAAAGTAAAATACCTGTTAAAACAAGATAACATCCGTTGAGCCTCAGTTATTCTTAAGTAATAGTCATATACTCAAGTTATAAAAGTTACTTATGCTAGGTATAGAATTCTAGAAAATATAGAAAAGGGAGAAGTAAAAGAATATATTACTCCAATTCCAAGAAAAAGATCAGTTTATATGTTGGTGAATCACTGACAGTGCTGCCACAATTAAACCTAGTTAAGTGGTGTTTCCCTACTTAACATGTTCTCTGCTTCTTCTTCAAAGTTTTCCATTGAAAAATCAATACAGCCATTACCTTCACTATTACTTTTACTATGAGCTCAACATAGAAGCAATGAGATTTATTTTTTCTTGAAATTTAACCAATACAATTCTAGCCAGAATCTGGCCAAGCTTGAATTTGGTAATTCTCACTTTTGAGGTCAAAGATACTTGTGAAAGTACCCTGGAGTGAATGAGACCAAACTGCCAATTCCTCTGTCAAAGCTAAGTGTATGTATTTGTGTGTGTGTGTGTTGAGAATATGCCACAAACAATGTATTGTTATGATTTGCTGTTGGGTTTAGTACTTGTTTTTAAAGTGTTTCTGTTTTAAGAGAAAAATTTGTATAGGTTTTCGCTTTTCCTTTAATTCAGTCTTCCATTGGTTTCCATGGAAACTGGGAAATTTTCACTCAACTCAAAATTTGAAATTCAGGAATCTCTTTATGCCCAAGGTTGGATATTTGTTGTCCATAATAATGTATATGTAATATATACATATACATGTCTAGTATATGTATATATACATATATATTTATATAATCTGTTCAGCTGAACATACAGACTATCTTGGTTTTAAAGAACTTTAATTATGGACATGATATTGTCATGGAAGCAAACCACAGAACTTTGAAAATTTTGAACTGAGCTATTTACCTAATCTCTTTGAGTTTTAGATAGTAATCCTTTGTATTAAGAAACTATTTTAAAACTAAAAGGTATATTGATGTCAGTATTATGCTAGTAACAACAATTCATGAATTTACTAGAATCAACTTAGTTCCTTTGATTCTTTATTATAAACTAAATTTTACATTGAACTTGGCTATCACATACGTTTTCTAAAAAGAGTTTGGAAAATTTTGCAATTAAATCATATACGAATAGATCGGTAAAATAGGAGCTTAAAAATACATATGACAAAAAGAAAATAGGAACCACATGTATTTCCAGGGGGACAAGAATTTTTTATTATTAAGTGACACACTATAAAATGGATTATTTATATGTACACAGTTGATGTGGCAGGTTTTTAAAGACTTGTATAAGGTAGAAAGAGTATCACTGAAACACTAATTCAATGAAGGCAATTCCATGGGAAGATTTACATAGTGTTGTCTTACTACAACTAAACTTTGTGAGGAGCAGGACAAAGAGGTAGCTAGACACAGGCTCCATGTTCCTGAGTCCTGGTCTGTGACACATGACAGTTTTGGTATTTGTAAATTCTAGTGCAGTGGTAATCTATAGAAAGAGAGATGGCATTAATGCATTGTCTATTCCATGTACACTACCAATTCTTAGAATACCCAGTCAGCGTTAAGTAAAAGTTAAACTATGATTGTGGTTATCCTGGATCTTCTAGTGATCTCTGTGCATCCATGAAAAGCTTACTCCCCAGCTATTTGTCAAATTGGGTGTTAGCCACCTTCATTGTACTTCAAGTGGCCTTTATTTGTGATTGTAAAATTAGAGGTCCTGCTCTCCAGCCTCATGCATCACCATTTGATGTGTGTTGTTCTGAGGTCTGCTATTGCTCAGTCACATACCATTGCTCTGTGTGCTAAATCATAGAATGTTGTTGGATGAACCCTCTATTACCAACCTGATTTGTGTTTTGTGTTTGTTCACAAAAAGTAGAGATAATCTTAGCAGTTTCCATTTGGGTAATGCCACATCCTTGCTCAAATACTTGTGACCATGATCATACTAAGGACCAAAATAAAACTTTAAGATAATCAAGAGACAGAGTAATGCTGATTTCCAGTTTTCTTCCAATGATATGTGATTATGGAGGCATAGAACACATGGATAAGGGAAATCCACCCTTAGACCTCAAGTTCTATTTTACTAATTACGTAAAAAAAACCACTTGGAAAGAATATCAACTGTATTTTTTAATAACTAGGAGCTAAATGAACCAATCTAAAACTGACTTCCTTTGTATTTTATCAAAGGAGTAGTTAGAAAAAAAACGAATCAGTGTTGAAAACATTAAGAGATTAGTTAATAACTTGGATGAATACTCTTTCGATATGTTGAAACTAGTTGTATAATAAAGCAGCATGGAAGTCAAAATGTTTCCATTCAAAATATACATGTAAATGGTTTTACCCCCTGAGGAAGAGAGGATTAAATTATAAAGCAGTTACTGCTAATTCTTCAGTAATTGAATAAAATTTGAACTGATCATTGTTAATATCCCTATGTTTAGGTATCCTACAGTCTTTGGGGAAATAAGTATATAGAAAAACCCTTGTATACAGTGTCATGACAGCTAAATTTACCATTCAGTTAAACCAGTGTGGTTCCATGACAGGCTGCTCTAATTTTTCTTTCCAATGCTGGATTTGGATGGCTCTCACTAAATACAGATATGAGTTTAGTGATTTTTATTCCATTTTTTCTCATTTATATGTTTCTAAGTTTATTTTCAAATTTATTACAGAAGAAAAGCAATGGGGCACCGAATGGATTTTATGCAGAAATTGATTGGGAAAGATATGTGAGTATCAGAATATTGGTTTTATTAAGTACTTTACAACTTAAAAATTAGTTGAGGAACTTGTGTTTATAGTAGTATATGAAATAACTCCACTCATTAGGAAGTACCTGGTGTATTTAGGATGGTAAGAAGTTTAAGAGCACTAAAATCTGTCAAACCTGGGCTCAAGACTCAGTCTCTCCAATGTACCAGCTGTGTGTGGCCATGAATAGTTATTTGCTGAGCACCAAAAATGAAGTCAGTACAATTTTACTTTTCTACCATTGTTGCAAGGACTCAACAAGCTTATTATTTGTAGGACATTTCATCAAACTACCTAGCCTATAGTGTATTCAAAAATGTTTTTCTTAATGTTGACTCTCTGGGTATTTTAACCCTGGATTTGAAAATAAATAAATAAATAAAAACAGCTTTGAGGGTCAAGGCAAGTTAATTAACCACTAAGCCTCAGTTTCCTAATAACTATAGCTTCATATTATAAGTTACTCCCAGGATAAATGACAATCATTGCTTCTCGGGGACTGAAGGTAAAACCTAGCTGAGACCTAAACTTTTCCCATAATTTTCCCCCAAAATAACTAATATCATCCCATACACTTCAACCCAATTAGAACAACCCATTGGATCCAGCCAGGACTACTCTTAGTTTTCTAACCAGATAGAACAGGTAAATCATTACATCAAAGATTTCTCACTCCTAGGCTTATAGCCACCCCTTTACTCATCTTCCTCCCTCTCAGTCATAAGGTATACTCTCAAAATGCCTGGAGTCAAGGTCCAGGTATGACATTTTGCTAGATGTGTTCTTGAGAAATGGTGTCTTTTCTCACTTAAGTTAACTTGTTGTTTGCTGGGATAATTTTTTTTACATAGGTTTGTTATGACATCCAATGAGACAAAATGTTAGTCACAACACTCACCATACAATAAGAACTCACATATGAAATATCAATTCTCATGATGCAGACTGCCTTTTATTTTTCCTGCTTTTTTCCTATAAATATTAGTTATCTGCTCTTAGAATTAATTCAGCTGGCAGTACCAGTAATCAGTCTCTCAGGAGTGGAAGGTATAAATCTTAGCTTCTTCTTGAAACTTCACTTTCCTTTTTCTCCTGTGACTGTTCTTTTGCCAGGGATAATAATCAATCCTTTCAAATGTGCTTGATTCATCCCTTTCCACCTCAAAAGTTGAGCCATATTCACAGCAAACTTGCCTAAACTGATGCACATATTTTAAATTACTTATCCTTTCTTCTGCCTCCAATGTATCTGCAAACATCTTCCAAAATACCTTATGAGTCTGCTCTCAGCACGTCCCACCCTTACTGAGAAACTACAGCAGCTCTAACAAGCCCAAACTCCGGCCCTCACCATGGTCTCCTTGCTCACTCCTCCATTATACAGCTTCTTTTCCAGGCATGTCATCTTTGCTGTTGCCTCTCCCTTCCCATCCCGAATCATACAGTGTCCATTTCTACCGTGGTGTCTTGGCACAGGGTCTTTCCACCACAGAGAAGGGACTCCACCCTGCCCTGTCCTACTGGTACTGATTCTTTCTGTATTTTATTTTTTTGTGTGTGGCAGTTTTGAGGTTTGAACTCAGGACCTCACGCTTGCCAGACTGGCACTGTATCACTTGAGCCATGCCCCCAGCCCATCTTTCTAAATAAACAAATTTTCTCTCCCCTAACTCCTATCTAACAGTGGCATTCCATGTTGTTTTGTTTTTAATGTTTGCCTACCAAAATACATTTCAATTTCCGTGAGGACAAATAGTTTTCATGTCAGTTCTCCATGTTGCTTACCATAGTCCTTGGCTTACAGGAAATGCCTGATAAATTCTCTTGGAATGCTTTCATACAGTTTCTTCTTCATTTATTTTCCTAGTTGCAAGACTCTCCAGATATCCTTAAGTAAATATCTAAACATACAGCTCAGATTTCATTTCCAAAAGTTAAAACCTTAGCACCCTAAAATTATAGACTTGTCTATATCCTTAAATAGAAGGCTTTAGAAAGAAATTAAATAATCTCTCCATCATATCAGGATAATAACTGCTTAGCATGTACTTCTATTTTATAGAACTCACCCGAACTGGATGAAGAAGGCTACAGCATCAGACCAGAGGAACCCGGCTATATCCTTTCTTTATTTTTTTATTTTACTTTTTATTTTCTCTAACAAGCAGTAAGCTAAATTCAGGTCTTACAAAGATGGTAAAATAATCTAAGCTATTATTCCTAATATTAGAAATGAATAAATAGCACAGAGAACAGCCTGATCATTAATGAGCAGGCGTTTTGTCTTAATCTATTCATAGAAAAGAGAAAGAGAAAAATGTGCTGAAAAATAGTTGTGCAAATTGTGAGCACTGTGTTGTCCTCTACAACCTGATATGACTATGTCATTTACAGTGACAGGAAAATAGCTCTTAATGTCCTCTCCCTCCAGTTCATCTCTGGGCAAAGCATGTCATACTCAGAAGCATTTAAAATTCTTCATAAGTGGTCCATAAAGCAGCCGTCCTCTGTGTGAGGCTGAGTAAGCTTATGTGTGCTTGTCTGCATGTGTTGAGTTTGACACACGAACGGCCAACTGCAGCAAACATGGACGACGTTAGCCACTGCTCATTGGAATTCAGTGTTCTTGATCAGGTGTTGAGGAAAGGTGAATAAATCCTAACCTTTTCCTTTTTATTTTTGTTTGTTTTGCTTTCATTTTTCTGCCATTTGAGGGTGCTTTTGCTGTGTCTATGGGTATTCTTTCTGATACTCATCAATGCCACCTGGTAGAAGAAAGAGCTAAGTATCTTTAACTGTGTTCTACCTACCAAAGGAAAACACTTTTATTCCTCAAGTGAATCAGAAGAGGAAGAAGAATCACACAAGAAATTCAATATCAAGATTAAACCTTTGCAATCTAAAGATATTCTTAAGAATGCTGCAACTGTAGATGAGCTGAAGGCATCAATAGGCAACATCGCACTGTCCCCATCACCAGTGGTGAGTGGCGTTTTGTGTTGAACTTTGAAGAGGGTGGACAGAGCTGTGTTCTGCCTCCATGTTTTAAGCTAATCACAACTCCTTCCACTGAAAGTTACAGATGATCTCCATTTTATGAACTCATAAACCTTAAACAGCTCAATTGAGCTTAAAAGTTTTACTCATTTAATACTGCAGTTCTTGTGCTTTTCAAAATGGTAAAATTGCATGAAATTACATTTTCTTTTATTTTCCCTACAACATATTAAAAAGAAGAAAAACAGTGACAAAAAGATTATCCAAACTTATTTCTGAAGCAGACTTAATGATTAAAAAGACCATGACATTCACAGATTTATTAACATTGATTTTTTAAAAGCACATTTTAGTTTCCCTGTTCTTAATAAAAATATGTATAAGAGGAAAACTAAGAGAAGTGCTTTAAAAAAATATTTTAACTGGGCACGGTGACCCACACCTGTAATTCAAGCACTCAGAAAGCTGAGGCAGGAAGATCAAAAATTCAAGGCCAGCCTGGGCAACAGAGACACAAACAAAAAACATTTCCTCACTATGCTGCAAAAGGAAATATTAATAAAATCACAGTCTAGATAGATATTAAAACTCATATTGTTCATGATAATTTTTTTATCAAATAGTCTGAAATACTCTCATCTTTAAGGCACCTCAAATGCAGACCTTGCCCTACATTTATGCAGGTTTGTATTTTCCCACAATCTTTGCTTCCTTTACCCATTCCCAGCTACTAAATTTCTTTAATTGCTGAATTCTGAGTTCCAAGGCTCACAGTATTTTCTGTGGTGTTTGAGAATCCAACATTTACAGTATTTTCTTTGTGGTGTTTGATAAATGCAACCATTGTTTTCTAAAACTAGCTGAGAAGAGCAGGTAAAAACTTTCATACCAACAATTAATATGTACTTGGCCTCTTCTTTAGGGAGGGGGGATCTCCGTACAGCATTCTCCATGAGTGCTGAACCATTTTCAAAGTACTTCTAGAAATATCTCAACTAACCTTTCTATAGAAGTCATAATTGTTCATCCTTTGCAAATAAACTTTTGCTTCTCTGGGATGAAAAGTCTATAATGATGGCTTCTTCAGATGTTAGTGCTTATAATGGCTTTTGCCACCATCACAGGTAATAAATAAAATGATTGCTAATGATAACCAAACAGCAAATGGTGTTTTAGGTAATTTTTAACCTTACACTCACCTACTCCCTTAACATATATTCCTGAAAAAAGAAGCAAGAAATACAGTCTTCTTTCCCTTCTGCAATGGAAGATACATATTTTGTCTTGGCTTGTGATATCTAGAAATGGAGGCACTTTAGATTAGTGATTGATGGTGTTGTTGAATTCTTCATCTATGCTGACTTTCTGCCAAGTAGGTCTATCAATGCTCAGAGGAGATGCTGGGGATTGAACCCAGGACCTTGTACATACTAGGCGAATACTCTACTACTGAGCTGCACCCCAGTTCCATAATGGGGGCATTTTAAATACACATACTTGCTCTATTCAGCTGCCATATTTCAAGTCACTTTTTCTTACTGAATTTTCTTACTGGGAGGGGAGGAGGGTGGTACTGTGGTTTGAATTCAGGGCCTTACACTTTCTAGGTAGGTGTTCTTGCCGCTTAAGCCACTTCACCAGCCCTTTGTGTGTGTCTGTATGTTGGGTATTTCAAAATAGGGTCACATGAACTATTTGCCCAGGGCTGGCTTTGAACCACAATCCTGATCTCTGCCTCCTGAGTAGCTAGGATTACAAGTATGAGTCACTAGTACCTGGCTCTGAATCATTTTTTACTGTAAAAATCTATCTAGATGCCAGAAACCAGTTTGTATCCACCTATCTGGAGGATGTAATATATTGAGTGGGTATTTGGAAGCTACCTGGGGTAAATGAAAGAAGGTAAGTTCACGGGATTAAATGAACAAATGTACATGAGAGCAAACTCACTAGGACAGTTCCAGAAACTAGATATTTATGGAGAGTTTGTTGAATCTTGGAGGAGAGGAGAGATCCCCTGAATCAAAAGGAATGCATGTGCCTATGTCATGTGGATATTCCTCTAACCTGGTATGTTGATGAGGGCACAGCGAGAAAAGTGGTTGTGTGCCATGAGCAACTCCTAACACCTGTTTGTAAGGTGATTTATTGACCAGATGTGATTAAGATTCTGATGGAAAAGTATTAGTGGAAGCAGAGGGAAAAGTAGATGTAGACACTCCGAGAAAGTAATCCTGGGTTAGGCTTTTACTGCAGGCCAGTGATACCCAAATCAGAGACCTGCTCCCCACCCCACACCCCCAGTTTGTTTCTTCTAACATTTGTCATTTTGATATGTAGGACAGGAGAATGGGCTGTTGTTGCTTCTTTAGGGAGAGGCGAGCATGTTTTCTGGATGAAAACAAGTATGAAGAGAGATTGTGACTGAGGACATAGTCTCAGCTGTAGAATCCTTGCCTTCTTCTACATAACCCATGTCAATGTGGAGTCCACAAATGACATGCAGCACTTTATCTCCAGAACCAGATACGAGAAATTCAGTCACTGTCATGATAGAAATGGCAAAGGATTTATACAACTTTACAAAGATATTTATACATCTTTACTTTCTTCCTGTACTAAAAAAAAAAAAAAAATTGAGCCTATAGCAGTTAATGATCTATCAGAGTCTTTCACTAAGGCCATGGCTGTTATGCAAAAGCAGTAAACAATTCATCAATGGAAATAGAGGAAAATCCAATGGTTTATAATAATGACTTGGGTTGAATTTCTAATTTCTTTTTTTTTTTTTTTTTGCATTTCTTTTTGGCACTATTTAGGATTAAACTCAGGGCCTCCTGCTAGCTAGACAGGCTACTCTTATCACTTGAGCCACACCTTCAGTCCTTTACTGCTTTGTTTTTCAGATACAGCCTCTCATTTTTGCCCAGGGCCAGCTGTGAATTGCAATATTCCTACCTATGCCTCTCCCACAGTTGGGATAGCAGGCACGCACCCGCACACCTGGCTTTTTTGTTTAGAGGGGGGTCTCACTAATTTTTAGTTAGCCCAGGCTAGCCTCAAACTGTGATCTTCTCAATCTCTGTCTCCTGAGTAGAAAGAGACACCATGCCCAGCTCTTCTGCAATTTTTAAGATAAAGTTGCACTCTACTTGTTCTTTTCACTCATCTGTGACTATGTATTCATTAGTTGTAACTCCTTTGATCTTGTTTATCATGAATTAGTTTCATTTTACTTAGCTTCCCTATATATACTAGCTGATCAAATCAGTCAGTAAATGAATGAAATAAAATGAAAGAATAAATGGTATATATCTTTATGTATATATAATATAAATCTGTCTTAAAGTGACTCCTATCTAAGACAAAACTTCAACAACATAGAAAAACAAGGTTTTAATTGCTGATAAAAATCCTACTGTATAGTTAGACAAGAAAATATAATTGCAATTCAGAATTCACCTGGGCATTTGATTTTTATATAGAAATAAAATATAATGTAGGCCAGAACGAGACAAAAGAACGATGATACCAGGGTTAACTCCCAGATCAGGAAAGCTAATTCCTATTTTTATCCCACTGTGTCTTCTGGTAACAGGATACCACACACAGGAGAAAACAATGAAAATCACCCAGGTTTTAGTTGTTGATTTTATGTCTGTATAAGGAATATTGAACTGCTTTAAAAGACAAAAGTAATAATGGCTTAAAATAAAATGATTTCTCTCACACACACATTAAAGTCAAAACTGGTGATAAAGGCCTGCTCCAGGGTTCACTCAAAACTCCACTTTCTACATCATTGTTCCACCTTTCCCAGAGTGCTGCTGCCTTACCACCAGTAAGCGCCTCCATGATTGGAGCTTGAGGTGGAGGAAAATGAAAAAGAAAAGCAAATGGTTTCCTTTAAGGGTTTAACTCAGAGGTTGTACACATCACTACCACTCAGATCCCATTAGCCATAATTCACTCATATGGATACATTGGGTGCAAGGCAGTCTGGGAGATGTAGTTTTTCACTGAATAGACAGACATGCAGACAGCTAAAAGACAAAGTCAAAAGCAGAAATTGGCAAGGGGGCAAATTCAACTATAATACAGCGTAAGAACTTTTGTAAATGTCGCAATGTACCCCAGCACAACAATAATTTTTTTAAAAAATAGAAGACATTGGCAGTTTATGCCACTATGTCTTAAACAAGCTCAAATTATTTGGGGGAGTCTTTAGGAAATGAAACTTTATCCCATTATCTTCAGAATTGTCCCCAACACCAACTAAATCCAGGGTGTTTTCTTTTGAAGTTTTTTATTTGCCAATTTTTAAATAATAGTGTAGCTATGGTACGTGTGAACTTATGGTAGGATAAATAGAAACAATTTCAGTAAAATATCATCTTGTTTGGTTGATAAATACCCTCCGACAATAGCAGTACCTCTCTCTTACAAAGTTCACTGCTTTTTCAGGCAGGCAGTTTCACTATCGAAATGAAAGTTTTCCTCCTTTTACCAAATATGTACTTTTTATTCTTGATGTGGTTGTACTCTTTAGAGGATGAAGAAAGAGTAACTCCTCCTTCACCAACTGGTTTCAGACTGATTCCAACTTCCAGTTCAGTGTGCAGGATGTTTATTAAGATACGACCTTAGACTGGTAAATGGCTCAAGTATTAACAGTACTTGCCTAGCAAACATAAGGATCTCAGATCAAAAAAAAAAAAAAGACCTTGGGGAGGCATGGCTCCACAGTGCTTGCTAGGCAAGCACAAGGCCCTGAGTTCAAACCCCAGCACCTCCAAAATGAAGAAAAATGAGGAGCAGGAGAAGTGATCTTGGGCTTAACATGTGTGGAATGGGGTGGGCAGAAGGGAGCTGAACTGTTATGCCCATCCAGCACCAGACAGGCTAATCCCAGGGGAACTTCAGATAGAATGGTCCCTCAGTATTATGGTGAGTTTGATGATAAGCCTGCACAGTGCTGTATCAGT